GTGAAGGGAACTCTTAAGGCGTCAGCATACCAAGACATTTTGGACAATTTCATGCTCCCAACTTTGTGGGAAGAGTTTGGGGATGGCCCCTTCCTGTTCCAACATGACTGCGCACCAGTGCACAAAGCAAGGTCCATAAAGACATGGAGGAGCCAGTTTGGGGTGGAGGAACTTGACTGTCCTGCACAGAGTCCTGACCTCAACCCCATAGAACACCTTTGGGATGAATTAGAGCGGAGACTGTGAGCCAGGCCTCCTCCCCCGACATCAGTGCCTGACCTGACAAATGTGCTTTTAGAGCAGTGGTTCTCAACCTTCCTAATGCCGCGACCCCTTAATACAGTTCCTCATGTTGTGGTGACCCCCAACCATAAAATTATTTTCGTTGCTACTTCAAACTGTAATTTTGCAGTGGGGAGGAATAGTGCCCCATCATTGGTATCAGTGGGAGGAATAGTGCCCCATCATTGGTATCAGTGGGAGGAATAGTGCCACATCGTTGGTGTCAGTGGGAGGAATAGTGCCACATCGTTGGTGTCGGTGGGGGAGGAATAGTGCCCCATCGTTGGTGTCGGTGGGGGGAGGAATAGTGCCCCATCGTTGGTGTCGGTGGGGGGGGAATAGTGCCCCATCGTTGGTGTCGGTGGGGGGAGGAATAGTGCCCCATCGTTGGTGTCGGTGGGGGGAGGAATAGTGCCCCATCGTTGGTGTCGGTGGGGGGAGGAATAGTGCCCCATCGTTGGTGTCGGTGGGGGGAGGAATAGTGCCACATCGTTGGTGTCGGTGGGGGGAGGAATAGTGCCCCATCGTTGGTGTCGGTGGGGGAGGAATAGTGCCCCATCGTTGGTGTCGGTGGGGGGAGGAATAGTGCCCCATCGTTGGTGTCGGTGGGGGGAGGAATAGTGCCCCATCGTTGGTGTCGGTGGGGGGAGGAATAGTGCCCCATCGTTGGTGTCGGTGGGGGGAGGAATAGTGCCCCATCGTTGGTGTCGGTGGGGGGAGGAATAGTGCCCCATCGTTGGTGTCGGTGGGGGGAGGAATAGTGCCCCATCGTTGGTGTCGGTGGGGGGGGGGGAATAGTGCCCCATCGTTGGTGTCGGTGGGGGGGGGGGGTAGTGCCCCATCGTTGGTGTCGGTGGGGGGGGGGGGGTAGTGCCCCATCGTTGGTGTCGGTGGGGGGGTAGTGCCCCATCGTTGGTGTCGGTGGGGTAGTGCCCCATCGTTGGTGTCGGGGGGGGGGGTAGTGCCCCATCGTTGGTGTCGGTGGGGTAGTGCCCCATCGTTGGTGTCGGTGGGGGGGGGGGTAGTGCCCCATCGTTGGTGTCGGTGGGGGGGGGGTAGTGCCCCATCGTTGGTGTCGGTGGGGGGGGGGTAGTGCCCCATCGTTGGTGTCGGTGGGGGGGGGGTAGTGCCCCATCGTTGGTGTCGGTGGGGGAGGGGGGTAGTGCCCCATCGTTGGTGTCGTGGGGGGGGGGGGTAGTGCCCCATCATTGGTGTCGGGTGGGGGGGGGGGTAGTGCCCCATCATTGGTGTCGGTGGGGGGGGGGGTAGTGCCCCATCGTTGGTGTCAGTGGGGGGAGGAATAGTGCCCCATCGTTGGTATTAGTGACACCAATGATGGGGCACTATTCCTCCCACTGACACCAATGATACTTACCTTGCTGACCCCTGCTCCAGCCTGGGCTCGCTCTCTCCCTCTCCCATCTACAGCCTGCATACCTGGCTGCAGCAGCAAAATTTGCACTTACCTGTCAGCTGTCTTCCTTCTCTGGCCGCTCTCCTCTTCACTCGCTCCGGCAGCTCCCTCGATCTTCTTCGATCTCCGCGCGCTGCCGATCGGCTCCTCCTCTCCAAGCTCCACCTCCTCGCCGGTGATTGGCCGCCTGTGTGCCTCTCCTGAGCTACAGTTCCGGTAGCCAATCAGCGGCAAGGAGGCGGAGCTGTTGAGTGATCCCAGAGGTGTGGCCAGGTGACAGGGGCAGCATATCATCCCGCCCACACATCGCCTGAGACAGAGGAGCGGTGTCTCGGTTCCTAAGACCATCGGAAATATGTGTTTTCCGATGGTCTTAGGCGACCCCTGGGAAATGGTCGTTTCGACCCCCAGGTTGAGAACCGCTGTTCTAGAAGAATGGTCCAACCTTCCCATAGACACCCTCCTAAACCTTGTGGACGGCCTTCCCAGAAGAGTTGAAGCTGTTATAGCTGCAAAGGGCGGGGCCAACCCAATATTGAACCCTACGGACTAAGACTGGGGGGCCATTAGAGGTCATGTGTGTGGAAAGGGCGGGGCCAACTCAATATTGAACCCTACGGACTAAGACTGGGGGGGCCATTAAAGTTCATGTGTGTGGAAAGGCCGGCAGCCCAACTCTTTTGGCAATATAGTGTATATATATATCAAATACATCTATTTATTACAAGTGCATTATATACCTCAATCACACATATGTACACAATGCATTAAGACAAAGGAACACAGGAATTCTGTTTCATACTTTTATTGTAGCATTTCATCATATGCTCTTAATCCGAATACAAAAAAAGCATACATCTGAGTACACGAGCGAATAATCTTCAATCTACCGGACTCTGTAGAAAGTTTTACAATGATCTTTCCCTACAAAATTTGTCAAGGTTCCCAGCATCATCACCATGTAACTGTACAACTCCCCCAACATACAATGCAGTGACTTGCCTAGAGGGCACAGCTGACTTGTGTATCCAGAATTATAAGCGGTCACAGGAGCAATATATCAGCAGTTTAATGTGACTGACAACTGTCAAAGTAGAATTGGAACACAGAACTCGGTGAAACAGGTTTTGGGTGCTCGGGCAATATTCAGCCTATCCATTCACTGAAATCAGTGACCACTCTGGAATGAGGCACTTTGGTGAATTAACAGGCTGTGTTTTCTGAATACTGGCCCAGACTACAGTTCACCTACTTCCATGAGATGTAGCCATTCGTCAGTATTTTAGAAGTCCAGGAACTGCCATGTGCTTGAAGAATTCTGCAAGTAATAACGTCATAACTGGCCGTGCCGAAAGTTATAAAGATTTTCAACAATCTGTAGATAAGAATGCTGTAGAAGGGTTTTATTTTCCCTATCTGCAAATTGGTATCTTATAAAATTTGCACGGTAGTCCATTTCTTTTTATTATCCCATCTCACAGTACCTGTGAATAGAGGCTGTTGTAAGCGCTTTATTGCACCTTCTCTCCTGTCACGGATTTCTAGCAATCACTAGATAGCAGCTGTGAAAAATCTGAGTATTCCACTTTACCTTCACAAGTTGAATGTGCATAGTGTCCACCCTGATACAACATCAACATCCCTCATTTCCTGATTGGCTATAATTATTTTTTTTATAATGACTGACCTTTCCTTCTCATAGCACAGCACTGTAAGCCAATAGAATAAATAATATTCATAACCCTAATCAAAAGGAAAAAGAAGGATGAGCTCACTGAATTTGGGCACACTTTTGAAAGAAAAGTTGATTTTTCACAGCTGCTAACTAGGGATTGTCTAAAGGGTTGTGTCCAGAGCTTACAACAGCCTCTATGACCAGGTAATGGTAAATGGGACCGCGAGTGGAATGGCAAGGGTCACTTTTAGCTTTATTTTGGGGGATTATACAGGAAACTTGGTACTTAGGCATTTTTATCATTTAGACAGGACCAAGGGGAAGAGAAGGGGTTTTTTTTTTATTTTTTTTTTATAAAACGTAACTCAATATAAAATGAAGAGGTACTATCAGAGAGCTCCCTAGATGGCAACATCACACACCCACATCTATAGGAATGGACACTCATTTTTTGATTGGTTACTTGCGGTGTGAACTGTACCGCATTTTTAACCCATTCGGCCAGCTTTTGCAGCAGTCTTTTGTAACCCATAATGCTGCCCTGACCAAGCCAGGTAAGGCGGAGCATGCCAAGTGTAACCCATAATGCTGCCCTGACCAAGCCAGGTAAGGCGGAGCATGCCAAGTGTAACCCATAATGCTCCTCTGACCAAGCCAGGTAAGGCGGAGCATGCCGGGTGTAACCCATAATGCTGCCTTGACCAAGCTAGGTAAGGCGGAGCATGCCAAGTGTAACCCATAATGTTGCCCTGACCAAGCCAGGTAAGGCGGAGCATGCCGGGTGTAACCCATAATCCTCCTCTGACCAAGCCAGGTAAGGCGGAGCATGCCAAGTGTAACCCATAATGCTCCTCTGACCAAGCCAGGTAAGGCGGCGCATGCCGGGTGTAACCCATAATGCTGCCTGACCAAGCCAGGTAAGGCGGAGCATGCCAAGTGTAACCCATAATGCTCCTCTGACCAAGCCAGGTAAGGCGGAGCATGCCAAGTGTAACCCATAATCCTTCTCTGACCAAGCCAGGTAAGCCAGGTAACCCAGGCTGGAGCAGGTGCCAAGTGTAACCCATAATCCTCCTCTGACCAAGCCAGGTAAGGCGGAGCATGCCAAGTGTAACCCATAATGCTCCTCTGACCAAGCCAGGTAAGGCGGCGCATGCTGGGTGTAACCCATAATGCTCCTCTGACCAAGCAAGGTAAGGCAGAGAATGCTGGGTGTAAACCATAATGCTCCTCTGACAAAGCCAGGTAAGGCGGAGCATGCCGGGTATAACCCATAATGCTCCTCTGACCAAGCCAGGTAAGGCGGAGCATGCCGGGTGTAACCCATAATGCTCCCCTGACCAAGCAAGATAAGGCAGAGCATGCTGGGTGTAACCCATAATGCTCCCCTGACCAAGCCAGAGCATGCTGGGACCCTGGTAGCTGTGCAGCACCTGTATGGGAGGGCAGAGGTTGCCAAAGACTGCTTCAGACAAAGTAACAGATGTGAGAATAGGAGCAATTTAGTAGGAGGAATCTTGGAATCTTATGAGGCCGTAGTGTTCCCACATTCTCCAAGGCTCCCTCTGTTTGATGGGAAAATGTACAAGACAGGAGAATCCCGTTCATTCTGTAGTGCTGTTGTTGCTATTAACCGACGGATGCCATGATGGCATCTACTGGATACTCCTCTTTGCTGCGGGCTGTGACCTGCATTGTTACAGTATCTGTCAGAACCAACTTTGCACGTACTAAAATGTCATGGCCTCCTCGAAACACACCTGCAAAATAAAAAAAATGAATAAATAAAAAAAGTTTACACACCTTTTTGTACAACCAAGGATTTCATAAAGTGGTTCTAAAGGCAGAATGTTTTTTTTTTTTTTCCATTCTATGCTCTAAGGTAAAATCCTTCTGGGTGTAGCTCCCCCGTCAGCCCCCCCCCCCCCTTATACTTACCTGAGCTTTATCTTGATCCAGCGATGTGCAGGAGAGCTGCAGCTCTCCCGGGCCACTTTGTACTCATTGGCTCCTACTGCTGTCAATCACAGCCAGTGTGCCAATGAGGAGAGAGCAGGGGGCAAGGCCAAGCAGTGCTCTTTGTGTGTGAATGGACAATGTCCATTCATGGGAGCTCGGCTCGGGAGCGAGCCTGCTTGAGTGCCCACACAGCAAGAGGCTTGCTATTGGATCCACTCAGCAATGAGGAGCCAGGACCACCGACGGTTGACCCAAAAAGAAGAGAATCAGGCCTGCTCTGTGTGAAACCATTGCACAGAGCAGGTAATTATGTTTGTTATTTATTTTTTAAATGATAACCTTTAAAAATCACTTTAAGCATAGGTCTAGGCGGAACACCACGACACTTTTTTGCTTCACTTGCAATAAGCTTTATTGACACCATTACATAGTCAGTGAAAAGTCCCTTATGACCAAGTCCAGATCAAGGGTCATGTCTGGCAGGGGCTAAGATGTTCTATTGATTTAATGACATCAATAAAAAAACTTATGATTAAAAGCAAAAAAAAAAAAAAAAAAAAGTAAAAAAAAGGGTAGTGGTGTTTTATCTAGATTTGTGCATTCTAAAACAATCAGAAATGACTCCTCCTAAGTCAGACATTTTAATTGGAAGTTATGGGTCCTGCACTTTGCTCTATTTCTGATACAGGAAATCTATCAGGCTTTCAACATAGGGTAGTGCAAAAGAAGGGAATGCTGTAATGTTCCACAGCAACATATTTTATTGACCCGTACTAGAAATATTACCACTGGCCAGCCTCAGCCTGCAATATTCCCGGAGTTAAAGTGTTTGTAAACCCAACACAACAATACATTTTAATGTTTCAACATACAATTTATGAAGTCTGACATGGATGCACATTTTATTTTCACCTGTATTGAATTACCTGCTACCTGGATCAGCACAGCAATCAAAACTACAAGGTATCTCCTTGGTTTATCCTCATTGTCCTGCCATCCAGTGCTTCACATGTATCAATGTATAGGATGCCATACAGACGTACCACATCCTGTACACCAGGGCTTGAAATTTCCACTCGCCTGCTCGCCAATGGAGAGTGGAAATTATGGTGGGGGCGAGTGTGTCCCTCAGGGCCGTCTTGCCGAGCAGGCTTGGCGCTCAGGCCGGATCTGTCATTGGTACTGGGAGCTGTCAGACTGCTCAATAGCTGAGCGCAGTGAAAGCAAAGGAAGGAGTGTGCGCTGTGCTCTCTGCCTCCCCCTAGAGTGCAGTACCCGGCTCTGTGAGTGAACAACGAAGTACTGCAACTTTTTACGGGGGTGCGTGTGTGTGTGTACGTGTACATGTTTGTGTGTGTGTGTATGCAAGTACAACTGTACATGTGTCTGTGTGTATGTACATGTGTGTATGTGTACACGTGTCTGTGTGTGTGTTTTTCGCATGTACATGTGTGTGTGTGTATGTACGTACATGTGTCTGTGTGTACATTTCTGTGTGTATGCCTGTCTGTACGTGCCTGTGTGTGTATACATGTGTCTGTATGTGTACATGTGTCTCTGTGCGTGTGTGTACAGGTGTCTCTGTCTGTGTGTGTTTGTTGGTGGCGAGTAACTCTAAGGCCTGGCTAGTAGCTCAGGACTTGAAATTTTAAGCCTTGCTGTACACTATAGTTGTCTGCCTGTAGTTGCACAGGCATCCACGCCTCTCAGCCGATCCTAGCTGTAGAGACTGACAGCAGCTGTCATAAAAAGTACCACTGTCTATACAGCAGGACTCTGCAAAAGGGGCAAAGTCACATAAAAGTGGTGTGATACTCCACCCTCTTCCCACAAAGCTTGTGTAAGGCAGGTCATACACGATTCTTTCCTCCGGGGAAAGAAAATTGCTTGATTTCCCCATCAACACAATCAGTGTTGATGGAGGAATCCCTCCCGCAGTGCTATTGTGTTCTGCTGGTGGGGAGCCTTCCCTGCTGGCAGAATAAAAGGATCACTGCCGGCGGCTATAGCGAAAACAACCCTGGTCACACTAAAGTCGATCGATTTCAGTAAAACCAGCCTGCCCATAGATGGATCGAATTTAGTGCTGTTCCTGCTGAACCAAACAAATTTTGATCCATCTATGGCCGGCTTATGAAAGGCAATGTATTAAATAATAAAGCAATATTTACACAAATGAAACAACTTTACAGATACTTTAAAGAAGAACTTTATATTCCTAGATTGTAAGCTCCAAGGAGCAGGGCCCTCGATCCCCTCATGTTTTGCATTGTATTGGTATTGTTCTGTCACATGTTCTGTCCCCCTTTGTAATGTACAGCGCTGAGCGAACTATTGGCGCTTTATAAATACTGTATAATAATAATAATAATCTAAAATAATTAAAATGGGTGAACAGGCAGGAATCTTAAAGCAGAAGAAACATACTAGGTCTCTCCTGCATTAAAAGTTACTTTCCTGCATATCTGCCCCTGTACAGTGCGCTGTGCATGCGCAGCTCACTGTACAAATGCCAAATGTCACTTACCTCCCGCGCAGGAGTGATGTCACCACCCCCCGCCCGGCCAATGACAGTGGTCAGCAATCGAAACCCAGAAGCTGGCTGCCTGAAGATGTCAGCAGCCGGGCAGGGAGCTCCAGGACACCACATCGCTGGAGAAAGGGTAAGTATACTTCCGCTTTAAGCCAAGTAGGTGACGTCTACTTTTTCAGTATGACATTTTGGCTTAGTACAGATGTCCCACGTTACTGATGCAGATTCTCACAGCTGCATCTTACCTGCCAGGTACAACGAGTGCGCATTTTTGTTTTCTGGTACTTTATCCGACCTCTCGCAGGGCTGCATCCCCAGGAATTTGATCACGTTTCCTACTGCATCTATATAAACACAAACGTTGCAGTTGGTGTTGTGAATCACGCAGAAGGAACTGTGGCTTGAACTCCCCCCAGTTTCATTTGAACCCCACAGCATAAAAATGTGAAATAGAAAAAAAAAAAAAAAAAAAAGGAAGAAGAAGTAAAACATCCGACCACAATCACAGGTAAACAAGACAGCACCAGCAGTTCATATACAGTGGGGATCGAACGTTTGGGCACCCCAGCTAAAAATATGTATTAATGTGCATAAAGAAGCCAAGGAAAGATGGAAAAATCTCCAAAAGGCACCAAATTACAGATTAGACATTCTTATAATATGTCAACAAAAGTTAGATTTTATTTCCATCATTTACACTTTCAAAATAACAGAAAACAAAAAAATGGCGTCTGCAAAAGTTTGGGCACCCTGCAGAATTTATAGCATGCACTGCCCCCTTTGCCAAGCTGAGACCTGCCAGTGGCATGGATTGTTCTCAATCATCGTCTGGGAAGACCAGGTGATGTCAATCTCAAAGGTTTTAAATGCCCAGACTCATCTGACCTTGCCCCAACAATCAGCACCATGGGTTCTTCTAAGCAGTTGTCTAGAAAGCTGAAACTGAAAATAGTTGACGCTCACAAAGCTGGAGAAGGCTATAAGAAGATAGCAAAGCGTTTTCAGATGTCAATATCCTCTGTTCGGAATGTAATTAAGAAATGACAGTCATCAGGAACAGTGGAAGTTAAAGCAATATCTGGAAGACCAAGAAAAATATCAGACAGAACAGCTCGCAGGATTGTGAGAAAAACAATTCAAAACCCACGTTTGACTGCACGATCCCTCCAGAAAGATCTGGCAGACACTGGAGTTGTGGTACACTATTCCACTATAAAGAGATACTTGTACAAATATGGTCTTCATGGAAGAGTCATCAGAAGAAAACCTCTTCAACGTCCTCACCACAAAAATCATCGTTTGAACTTTGCAAATGAACATATAGACAAGCCTGATGCATTTTGGAAACAAGTTCTGTGGACCGATGAGGTTAAAATTGAACTTTTTGGCCGGAATGAGCAAAGGTACGTTTAGAAGAAGGGGCACAGAATTTAATGAAAAGAACCTCTGTCCAACTGTTAAGCATGGGGTTGGATCAATCATGCTTTGGGGTTGTGTTGCAGCCAGTGGCACAGGGAACATCTCACGAGTAGAAGGAAAAATGGATTCAATAAAATTTCAGCAAATTTTGGATGGTAACTTGATGCCATCTGTGAAAAAGCTGAAGTTAAAGAGAGGATGGCTTCTACAAATGGATAATGATCCTAAACACACCTCGAAATCCACGGGGGATTACATCAAGAGGCGTAAACTGAAGGTTTTGCCATGGCCTTCGCAATCTCCTGACCTCAACATAATTGAAAATCTATGGATAGACCTTAAAAGAGCAGTGCGTGACAGACAGCCCAGAAATCTCAAAGAACTGGAAGACTTTTGTAAGGAAGAATGGGCAAAGATACCTCAAACAAGAATTGAAAGACTCTTGGCTGGCTAGAAAAAGCATTTACAAGCTGTGATACTTGCCAAAGGGGGCAGTACAAGATATTAACTCTGCAGGGTGCCCAAACTTTTGCAGATGCCATTTTTTTGTTTTCTGTTATTTTGAAAGTGTAAATGATGGAAATAAAATCTAACTTTTGTTGACATATTATAAGAATGTCTAATCTGTAATTTGATGCCTTTTGGAGATTTTTCCATCTTTCCTTGGCTTCTTTATGCACATTAATACAAATTTTCAGCTGGGGTGCCCAAACTTTCGATCCCCACTGTATGTGGAACACTTCTGATATACTGTAGAGCTTTTAGATTTACCCTCTAGCGATTTGATGGTGGATAAGTTGAAAGTTTTTCTTCCTTTTCAAAATCGTCTCCCACCTCCTCCCAAGCAGCACCAAAGTTGGGCTTTAGAACCTTCTGTATGTGGTCTACAACTGTCACTTCAATGTCTTCAAGCTGCAGCATGAAAAAAAACAAAAAGACACTTGTAAAGTTTAATCATACAGCGAACATCAACTGTGTGAGAATACAAATTGAAACAACTTTCCAGAAAACTTTAATAATGAAATTTCAGGTTTGCGATGAAAATGCAGCAGTGCTGTTCAGCAATTTACAACCCTTAGTTCAAAATACTTGTAAAAGCCTATTGGAATCCAAGTAAGGTGAATAAAATCATATCCAGCATATCATGGGCAGCACAGTTGCTAAATGGTTAGCACTTCCGCCTGGCAGTACTAGGGTTGTTGGCTCGAATCACAACCACTGTACCACCTGCCTGGAGTTTGTATGTTCTCCCTGTGCCTGCGTGGGTTTCCTCGGGGTACTCCGGTTTCCTCCCACCCTCCAAAAGCGTGCTGGTAGGTGAATTGGCTCCTGTCTAAATTGTCCCTGGTATGTGTATGTATGAATGTGAGTTAGGGACCTTAGATTGTACACCCCTTGGGGGTTGGGGACCTTAGATTGTACACCCCTTGGGGGGGTTAGGGACCTTAGATTGTACACCCCTTGAGGGTTAGGGACCTTAGATTGTACGCCCCTTGAGGTTAGGGACCTTAGATTGTACGCCCCTTGAGGGTTAGGGACCTTAGATTGTACGCCCCTTGAGGGTTAGGGACCGATGTGAATGTACAATACATATGTAAAGCACTGCGTAAATTGACGGCGCTATATACAAGTACCTGAAATAAATAAATATCCTACTTACCACATACTCATCATCATATCCCTCTTCATCAGCCTCTCCTGTATTGGGGTCACAATCCTTCACTGTGAACTTCAGCATGCAACTGAATGTACAGGAATCTGAGACACGACACACAAAATCAGGTCATACATTCATTCTTGTATAAGAGCAGTGCATGCGCCAAGCTTATTCAAAGCATTTAGGGGTCATTCATACTTGCTGTTGGGGAGGGTAAAACCTTGCGCTTGAGCCGGGTTTTCGACTCCCCTCTGCCCCCCTCCCCCTCCAGCTGAAAAGTCAGAAGACAGGAATATACACATGCCACAGCTGCGATAATTTGCTTCATGGCCACGGCAGGAATTACATTCAGAAGGTACCACCGCCCACAAAACTCAACCCATTGAAGTGAAAAGGGCTGCGCTGCAACTGTCTGCAACGTATAGAGTTCGCCTGTAAAAAGTCTCTGAAAAGAGATCCACACGATGAATATCGTTGCCACTAGTGTGTTCGAGCCCTTACACATTTTTCCAGCAAACGTTGAGCAGCTTTGTTGAAACATTTAAAGCTCTAGAGAAGGGGTGGGCAAACTGCGGCTCTCCAGCTGTTGCAGAACTACAAGTTCCATCATGCCTCTGCAAGTCATAGGAGTAATGCTTGTAACTTCCAGTCTTTGCAATGCCTCATGGGAAATGTAGTTCCACAACAGCTGGAGAGCGGCAGTTTGCCCACCCTGTTCTAGAGGGATGATATCAGCTGCCAATACACTCAAGACTTTTATTTGTTCAGCCTGCGGGCAGCCAATGACCTGGCCAAGTGCTGTGACATTGCATTGGGTGCTTAGCCCTGTGTAAGCTCTGGCCAGGCGTAAATATTTTGTGGGGGCTCCAGCAAGTGAATGAAGCCATACGATGGCAAGTTTGTGCCCTTTATGCTTTCTGCTCTAAAAAGAACCTGTCACTTCCCCCCCAAAATGGCAAAATCAAATCACTATTTGGTTTGATTTGTTGGCTGAATTTGCCATTTAAAAATATACTACCATGATTTTATTTTTGAACGTTTTACTCTAGAATTTTATTTTACCGTTGTTTAACTTCTTTCCAAACAAACATATAATACAGGGGAGCACCAATTATTACACTGGTGTCACAATTATTACACTGGTGTCACAATTATTACACTGGTGTCACAGAGGGTTTTTTTAAAGAGAAGGGACTATAGAAGCTGTTTGCTTTCAGACTTTCTCTCTCAAACTGAAAGTCTATACAGAGCAGTGGAGACCTGGAGGGGACAGAAGGAGGAGAGGAGTCACTCCTTTGACTCATAAGGCCCTTTCACATGAGAGATTCGATCAGGTCCACCTGTCAGTTTTTCGGGTGGGCCTCATTGGAAGGTCCATGAGTCTTATGGACCGGCGGGTGTAAGTGAACACAGACAGACCCCACTCTCCTCTATGGGCAGCCGGGAGTAAGCTGACTCTGCTGTCCATTTACAATCCCCTACCTCCAGGTCCAATCAGACCTCCTAAAAAAAAAAAAAAAAAAACAAAAAACACAACACACAAAAAAAAAAAAAACACAACACACACAAAAAAAATGGAGGACTGCATCCTTTGTCGTTTGGGCGGACCAGACTGGAGGCAGCCAGGTATAAAAGGACAGCAGAGTCTGTTTAGTGCCAGCCCCCCTTAGAGCAGAGTGGGGTCTGTCCATGTCCGCTCTGCAGAAACTAAGCAGATTTTTCCAGGTGATTGATTTTAAAAAAGGCCTATTTGCAGAGATCCACGGTTGAGACTCCGTCATCCACCCCACTCTGTCATCCACCCCACTCTGCTCCAATCTGCAGGGGGGTCAGCAGACAGATACCCCGTGACCAGAACAGAAGGTGCAGGTGTGAAAGGGCCCATAAAGCTGTGTGCAAGCGGAGTCTCAACCGTGGAGCTCTGTAAATAGGCCTTTTTAAAATCAATCACCTGGAAAAAAACACATAAAAACTTGTAGATCCGTTTGCTGAAGAAAAAAAAAAAAAAAAAAAAAAGGTGAACTATCCATTTATCCGTATGCAATAATTCATATTTACCCAACCACATGAGTGAAAAAAGTAATTGTTTTTAGTCCTGGATATACAAATAAAATACAAACACTGTACATTCCCTTTAGCTAGTTCACTAACGTTACATACATGCGGATGGGTCATCCTCAGGAATAGAGGTCAGAGTGTAACATGTTCCCGGCTGGTTGTAGGACAAAGTCTTTACAGGGATGTAACAAAGGACCTCATATCCCTCTGTGGGCTCCATCTGTACCGTGACGTTCTCCAGGATCTGGTCGTTCAGTGTGTTGGTACAATCAAACTACAATAGGAGCATATATTGTGTCATCATTAATCACCATGTGCATTATACTTTATATGGCCGAGAGTTTGTGGACACCTGACCCTTAGGCTCCATGTACACGGGACGTTTGGAAAGCACTTCTGAACGATGGAAACTGACTGCTGGAACACGTAGGTTAAAAAATATCTGTTTAGCCACGTTTGCATAACGCATTTCTGAGCGTTTGCGTTTAGAAGCGTTTTTTAAAGATAACCTCAGGAGACCTTCGAAAATGCCCAGAATGCACTGAAAAAAATAGTAAAAATTTTTACTATTTCAGACATTTTTAGATAAATAGAGAGCAGAAGCAGAGAGAGCAGTATATGTTGAGATTAGCGGTCTTTTTTTTTGTGGCGTTTGGATGTGTTCCAGCTCATTTCTGTGCAGAAATTATTGCAGCAATGTCTAACATATTTTCTCTTTCATGTGAAACCTCAAAGTATGGTGTACCGGGTCCATTTGAGTACCAGGAAAATGCTTTGGATGCATTTTTCATGATGAAAAAAAGCTCTGGACAGCATCTGGAAATGGAAGAGTTAAAAAAAAAAATTTTGCAAACGCTTAGAAATGCGGTTAGCCGCGTTCACAAACGTTTGGCGTTTGAAACGCTGATACAATCTACTCCTGAACGCAAGTTTGGTGCGTTCAAAAAAACGACTGTAAACTCAACTGCCTGTAAACAAAGATGTGTACATGGACACATAGGAAAACATTAGGGAGAGTTCAGGGGCTGCTGAAAAAAAAAAAAAAAACACAAAAAAAAAAAAAAAAACCAGAAAAGTTCCTGAATGTGAGTTTATCAGCTGCAGTGTACATGGAGCCTTATATGTGAGCTTTCTATACATCCCATTCCAAAACCATGACCTTTATCATGGAGTTGGGACCCCCTTGTAGCTATAACAGCATCCACTCATCTGGGAAAGCTTCCACCACATTTTAGGAGGGCGCCTGTGGGGACATGTGCTTATTTAGCTAAAACAGCATTTGTGAGGTCAGATACCAATGTTGGATGAAGATGAAAGAAAGAGCGCACAAACCTTGCGCATTACCTCAATAAATAGTGACTAATTTTATTAATAAGGAAATATACTCACAAAGTGATGGTATAACAGGCATAAGTAACCATAATCCAAACAGGGTTACAGGTAAATCGAAAAGGGGGGGGGGGGGGGGTGAAGGTTAACGCGTTTCGAAGGGTGCTCCCTTCTTCATCAGAGCTGGGTTTGGCAGATAGAAACTTCAGTATGATAGAGTTCCCATGGCAAGGAGATATTCAGCCACTGAGTGTCAGTATTACAGCAGTTCAGCCTGATGAAGAAGGGAGCACCCTTCGAAACGCGTTGAAAAGGGGGAGGTGAAATCTAACGCGTTTTGCAGGGTGCTCCCTTCTTCTTCAGGCTGAACTGCTGTAATACTGACACTCAGTGGCTGAATATCTCCTTGCCATGGGAACTCTATCATACTGAAGTTTCTATCTGCCAAACCCAGCTCTGATGAAGAAGGGAGCACCCTTCGAAACGTGTTAGCCTTCACCCCCCCTTTTCAATTTACCTGTAACCCTGTTTGGATTATGGTTACTTATGCCTGTTATACCATCACTTTGTGAGTATGTTTCCTTATTAATAAAATTAGTCACTATTTATTGAGGTAATGCGCCAGGTTTGTGCGCTCTTTCTTTCATCTTCCTCTACAGTTTTATTAAGCTTCCCCAGCTTCACGATAGAGCTGCACAACCTCTGATCACCAGCGGATGAACATACAACACGCTGCTTGTTACTAACGCCTGTTTGATCTGAGTCTTTGAGCGCAGGAGATAATGGATCTTTGGTGACCAATGTTGGATGAGAAGACCTGGCTCATGATCAGCCTACGTGTTCATCCCAAATGTGTTCAGTAGGGCTGAGGTCAGGGCTCTGTGCAGACTACTCCAGTCCCTCCTCACCAAACTCATAACACCGCATCCTTGCAGAGCTGGCACAGGGGCAAAGTCATGCTACAGCAGAGAAAGGCCTTCCCTGAACTGCTGCCACAAGGTAGGAAGCACACAACTGTGTAAACTGTCTTTGTACGCTGTAGCATTAACAGCACCTTTTTCTTGACACATCTGAACTCCATCATTTGGAGGGGTATCCACAAACGTTCGGTCATACATTACAGCATGAGTAACTTGTCAGATCTGCCGCTCCACAACTTCATCTGCCAATTTAGCCTCACCTGGAAAACTAAGTGATTAGCAAAAGTGTGTTTTGTACAGCGAACCACATATTCAGTCTCAGATTCTGTGAGAGCGACGGGTTCCGCAGAAGACTTAAACAATGGTCCAAGGTTTTTAAATTCTGGCACAGCTGCAAGTTGCTCTGGAACAAAAAATAACATATTGAAATATCAGTTACATAGTTGTTAAGGTTGAATAAAGACGTCAGTCCATCTAGTTCAACCTGTGTGGGGTGTGTGTGTGTACTATGTCTCTACGGTTTCCAATATCCCAATATATTGTGTTCAATAAGATGGCCATCTAAATGTTTTTTGAAACTAGCAACATTACTTGCTGCAACCACCAATTGTGGATGGGAGTTCCACATCCTTACCGCTATAACAGTGAAAAAAAAAAGCTTTATACAGTTTAACCCCTTTGCGCTGACGTAACACAAATATGCGGCCTCACAGAAATGGGCTTTTTACTGTGGGGCCGCATATTTGCATGCCTGTCTTTCTGCTGGGAGCGCGGTTTGTCAGAAGTGACATCTTGCTTACTACTATTCATGTGATCACTGATTGGACAATCAGTGATCACATGATTGGGACCTTACACAGAGGTCCCGTACAGCGATCGGTGTTCCACTGTGTCCGGAGGACACAGCGGGCACTGGATTGCGGTGCTGAACGCTCCCAGGGAGCACGCACAAGCAGAGGGCGGGAAGGCCGATTATAAACGGCCACCTGACCCTGCACTGCCACCGTCCGGCCGTTTATATACAACAGCCGGATGGGAGGTGGTTATAAAGGTAAAAAGTAGGATACCCTCCAGTTGCTCGGTGCATGTTCTCACCTGCAAAAAGAGACATGTGCTCCATTAGCTATTGACTCTTTTGCAGGCCATACATGGGTCGAATTCCGAACAAATTTTCATAAGAAAATCAGACATTTTGTTTGTTTTGTAATCCAATGATGCCACCATGGATTTCGAAATTCGATCAACCAAGCCTGGAACTTCAACTCATGTTGCTACAGAAATGAATTTTCGAGGCGAAGATTTTTCTTTTCTCTACAGGTCACAGCTCATTACTTTTTCAATTACATTTCTCGCTATAACAGTAAAAAAAACCTTACACAGTTTAACCCCTTTACGCTGACGTAACACAAATATGCGGCCTCACAGAAATGGGCTTTTTACTGTGGGGCCGCATATTTGCATGCCTGTCTTTCTGCTGGGAGCACGGTTGTCAGAAGTGACATCTTGCTTACTACTATTCATGTGACCACTGATTGGACAATCAGTGATCACATGATCGGGACCTTACACAGAGGTCCCGTACAGCGATCGGTGTCCACTGTGTCCGGGAGCGCGGTGCAGTGCGCTCCCAGGGAGCGTGCACAGGCAGGGAAGTGGGAGGACGTTTATAAACGGCTACCTGCCCCTGCTCTGCTCCTGTCCGGCCATTTATGTACATTGGCCAGACGGGGTGTGGTTAAAGGCAAACCAATATTCTTTCTGGCCTTGCTTGCTGCAGCTTCGCATGCTATTGCTGAGTCTGTTATCAGCCAGGATCCCCAGATCTTTTTTTATCCTGGATTCCCCCAGAGGTTCTCCCCCTAGCATGTAATCTACATTTATATGTTTAGCCCCCAAGTGCATTACTTTACATTTCCTTACAGTGAACCTTATTTGCCATGTGTTTGCCTACCCATCCATTTTATTGAGATCTTCCTGTAGAGTTTCTATATCCTATTGAGAAATGATTGCCCTGCTTAGCTTTGTATCATCAGCAAACACTGAAATTGAACTATTTATCCAAACCTCTATATCATTTATGAAGAAGTTAAACAAAACTGGTTCCAGGACAGAGCCCTGGGGTACCCCACTTGTAACTGCAGACCATTGAGAAAATACACTAGATAGCAAACCCTTTGCTTAGCACATTCAGTGCATTGCTTATGCTAGTCTCCTAGATTGTAAGCTCCCAGGATCAGGGCCCTCCTATCCCTCTTGTATTGAACTGTATTGTTGCTGTATTGTCTCCCGTTATATTGTAAAGCGCTGAGCAAACTGTTGGCGCCATAAATCCTGTATAATAATAAATATATAAATCCTGTATAATAATAATATATAAATCCTGTATAATAATAATATATAAATCCTGTATAATAATAATATATAAATCCTGTATAATAATAATAATATATAAATCCTGTATAATAATAATAATAATAATAATAATCAGTTAAAAGTTTTACTGCCACGGACAGCCATAGTACAAAATTTTCCATCTCCGTTAGCTTGGAATGTGATGTTTTTAGCCCCGCAGAAGAATACAGTCAAGTTTCCTCCCACACTCCAAAGACATGCTGGGAGGTCAATTGGATCCTGTCTAAGTTGCCCCTAGTATGTGTATGGATGAATGTGAGTTAGGGACCTTAGATTGTACGCCCCTTGAGGGTTAGGGACCTTAGATTGTACGCCCCTTGAGGGTTAGGGACCTTAGATTGTACGCCCCTTGAGGGTTAGGGACTGATGTGAATGTACAATATATATGTAAAGTGCTGTGTAAATTGATGGCGCTATACAAGTATCTGAAATAAATAAATAATAAATAAAAGTTACGTTGTGTATTCAGTCCTTCTACTCACCTTGGAATATCTCTTGTCTTGAGGACACCACTTTCTCTGGCTGTTTTACTGTTGCAGCAGGCACATTTTCTAGTAGAAATGAAAGATACATTTTATTTCGGGAAATAGATTAAAATAAAAGTAACCATATCAAACCTTACCTAAAATGCTTGGGAGTTCAACTTTCAGCTCTAAATACACACAAAAAGCCGGAACAATAATCCAATCTAAGGTTGGAGTCTACATAACTTTGGGGGTTTGGGGCTCCCAAGAGTCTAAAAAGTAACCTGAAGAGGTGTGCAGAAACTAGAAAGTGCCACTACATAATCCAGGGGCTAGTTTATCATGCTTAAAATAACACACGTTTGCATTAAAGTGTAGCCAAACCAATATTGCCATGGGTGTGGTGGCTGTATTGGTTTTCTTTTTTCCAGGCTCTCTTTATTTTCACCTGCCAGTAACACACTTCCTGTCCTGGCAATAATGCATGATTACTGCACTGTATCTATGGTGGAGCAGTGTTGTCACCCTAGGCTGCACTCCTTTCCTTTCTCACAGAATCCTGGTGGAACCGCATAGGTGAGGTGACATCAGTAGATCTTCTTTCGCAAAAGTGAAGGATCCTAAACCCCACAAGAAAACCCTTCTGTTAACTACTGTAGTGCATGTCCATGAGAATTAGGATCCTGAGCTTTGTCAAGATTCCTCTGTGAGGCCCATTGATGTCAGCAGGAGGAAGCCCTTTCCTCGTGCATTTAACCCAGGAGAAAAGTAAGTATTTTCTTTCGATGTGTGTGTGTTTTTTTCCTTTTTCCTTTCCAGAATGCAGTGCTTTGTCAACAGCCACATCTGCAGACTTTGCACTTTAGGTCAAAGTCTGTGTTAGATGTGTCCTTCTTAACCACTCATCTGTAGCAATTATATAATTTATCGTATTGTTTACTCAGTGCCAACATGTTCCCCTGCACTTTACAGAGAACACTAAATGAGGCGCTCTACACCCACCCCGCTGTACAAGGAATTTATAATGTTGTAGCACTGACAAACACACACTGCTCAGGACTAATGTGGTCAGAAACCAGTTAACCCGCCAGTGTTTTGTTAGATTCTTTTAAAACACAAAAGTGTTGAATATCATCTGAATACTAGGATACATTGTATACTCGTTTATGGACACTGTACCTGTTCGCTGCTCTGTCATTGCTGCTGTGGCTAGTGGCACAGATTTGAGGTCAAATGGCTTCTCTGAAGGCTCCAGGGTGTACTGCTGTAATGCCCGTTCCAGCCCAGGGATGGACACGGTCAACCCTGAAAATAAAGTATTGTCATATCACTCAGGTTATGACGTAGTTTCGTTCAATTTGAACTCGATGGCAGACAGTCTAGGAAAGCTAACAGGCTCATTTACATACATACCATTTAGAATATAGGTAGAGTTGAGGGCTTTCTGTCTTTGTTCCAGGATGGTCAGATAGAATGTTGACCGGTCCCTCACTTCATTGTCATCATCCATCATACACCTGTACAAGGGCAAAGAGACTTCTAATTAAAGTGGAACGTCACCCAAAAGGCTTGTCTGCCTCCTCCCTACCCCCTCCTTCCCCTTTTAAATGTGGCCACTATTGTTTTGGGGGGAGCGGGTACCTGGTTCTGACAGGTATCCACTCCCACATCCAGTCAGATTGCTGCAATCCGAGCAGAAGTTCGGCTCCCCCTTCTTCTTCCCCCCACCTCTGCAGTCTTCTGGATACGCAAGTTTCCGGAGAACCGCTAGGCCATTCACAAAGTGCAGCACGGCTCGCGCATGCACAGTGGGAAACTGGCAGTGACGTTGCAAGCAGGCACAGCCAGCTTCCCAAAAAAAAAAAAATGCCGGCCTCTGGACCTGAAGACGGTTGAAGAGCTGGTTCAGGTGAGGACCACACTGGATCTCTGGATAGGTAAGTGTCCCATTATTAAAAGGCAGCAGCTACAGCATTTGTAGCTGCTGACATTTAATTCTTTGTTTCTAGGGTGAAGAACCGCTTTAAACAGTTTGCATATAAAACTGGTAAAAAAAAAGTAAGAAGCATTGACTTCTAGTTACAAGCGGTTTTGAAATTAGAAAATGGAATTGTTATGAATACAAATGATACACTATATGGTCAAAAGGTTTGTGGATCTTCCCTCAAAATTATTATTATACAGGATTTTATTGCGCCAACAGTTTGCTTATATATTATTATTATACAGGATTTATATATTATTATTATACAGGATTGATATATTATTATTATACAGGATTTATATGGCGCCAACAGTTTGCTCAGCACTTTACAATATATTGGGAGACAATACAGCAACAATACAGTTCAATACAAGAGGGTTAGGAGGGCCCTGATCCTGGGAGCTTACAATCTAGGAGATGATTTAGTTCAGGAGTTTCCGGTGAAGGGCACGGTTAATGCTACATCATACAAAGACAATTTAGACAATTCTGTTTTTCCAACATTTTAATAACAGTTTAGGGGAAGCCCTTTTCTGTTCCAGCATGGCTGTACCCTGTGTACAAGGAGAGCTCCATAAAACATGGGTTGACCAGTTTGCTATGAAGGAGATTTAGTGGCTAATACAGAGCCCTGACCTGAACCCTACTGCACTCATTTTGGATGAATTGGGAGACTGATTGCAAGACTGATTGTCAGATGCTCTCATCTAAGATCAGTACCTACCCTCACAAATATTATTTTGCCCAAATGGGTACAAATTCTTCAAGAAAGCCTTTATAGCCACTTGCCCTCCTGAGGATTTACCCCCCTTAATGACCAGGCCTCTTTTTGCTACTCGGCGCTGCACTAATTCAACTGATAATTGCGCGGTCATGCAATGCTGCACCCAAACGAAATTTAAGTCCTTTTTTTCACACAAATAGAGCTTTTTTTCGGTGGTATTTGATCACCTGTGCGCTTTTTTATTTTCACGCTATAAACAAAAAAAGGCCAAAGATTTTGAAGAAAAACAATATTTTTTACTTTCAGCTATAAAAAAATAAATAGTAAACTCAAAGTTGGTTATAAATTTAGGCCAAAATGTATTCTGCTCCATGTTTTTGGTAAAAAAAATCCCAATAAGTGTATATTGATTGCTTTGTGTGGAAGTTATAGCGTCTACAAACTATGGTATAGATACTGCAATTTACGCCATTTTTCTGCTATACAGCGCTGCGCTAGTTTAACGTACAATTGCGCGGTCATGCAATACGGTACATAAATGAAATTTACATCCTTTTTTCCCCCCACAAATTTTTTTCTTTTGGTGGTATTTGATCGCCTGTGCGGTTTTTATTTTTTGCGCTATAAAAAAAAAAAGGCTGACAATTTTGAGGAAAAAAAAAAATATTTTGGACTTTTTGCTATAAAACATGTCCAGTAAAAAAAAAAATGCAAAAATCAAATTTAGTCATAAATTTCTGCCAAAATGCATTCTGCGACATGTCTTTGCTAAAAAAAAAAAACGGAATACGTGTAAATTAATTGGTTTACGTGAAAGTTATAGCGTTTACAAATGGCGGGAAAGATACTGGGATTTTTAATTTTTATTTATACTAATAATGGCGCCAATCAGCGACATGTGACGGCGACCAGCGACTTATGGCGGGACTTCGGTGGACATTTTGACACTGGGGGGGGAGCTGACTTGGGGTCACTGACATCTCCAGTGACACCAATACAGTGATCAGTGCAAAAAAAAACCACTGAAACTGTACTGTCACTGGGGAGGAAGGGGTTAACATTTTTAGAATTTGCAGTGTAAGGGGAGTGTTTTACTAGGGGGCGGGGGTGTGTACTGGAGGGGGGGGGGGGGGGGAGGGGGGGGGGGGAGGGGAGGGGGAGCTGATCTAGGGAGAGAAACTGTTCTCTCCCTCTGCAGCTTGGCGGCAAACTGTCACAGAGCAGGCTGTGTGTAAACAATGCAGCCCTGCTCTGTGTCAGTGTTCACCGCTCATCGCGGGAAAACGGCCGGTAAAAAACGGCCGTGACCCGGCGGCGGAGACCCGCTGCTGACACCCGCGGGATAGGTAGGGCGGGCGCGCGCGCGCGAGTTTTGTAGGCACACGTTTTTAAACCGTGCTTTTGCCTACGAGCACCGCCCTGCCACCGTTTATATGCGGTGGCTGGGCGGCATGTGGATAGAGGAGTGGAGGCTGTTAAAGCTGCAAAGGGGGAAGAGCTGGGAAGGGGCAAGTCCATATAGATGCCTGTGGCTTTGGTAGAGGTTGTCCAAGATGTACATGTACAAGCCACTATTCTGACAAGTCCTTTTTCTTTTGATGGCTTGAAACCAGATCTTGCTAGCACCTACTAATCTGACACATTTCACTTAGACAGGGGTTTAAATCACCGAGGAGTGCTGATCAGGTGCTAAACGTTCCTCAATTTAGTGAGCTTTCTATTCTTTTCAGTTCCAATAGCACAGATGCCTGCTAACCAACCTAAGTGGAGTCAGTCATAGACTCAGTTTTTCAGGGAAATGTGTTCACCTACCTTCTTAATAGTACCAAGATGCTGGGCAGCACGTCTTCGTTTTGGGCACCGAATTTGGCTAGAGCACTGACAGCGCCTATTGGAAATAATCAGAATGTGAACAATAATTCTAGAGTAAAATCAGGCTGATTAGCAGAAAGATCTGAGTCACAGCTCACCCGCTCGAACCTCCTCATTCTCAAGGATGACCCGATTGTAGATAAACCGAATGTACTTAGACGGGTTGGCAGTCCTTGGTCCCTCCTGTCCCAGCAGGTGAAGAATGCGGGTGGCCAGGACAGTGAACTCACAATCCTCTATGAACTCACAGAGATGTGACAGCCCTGTCTCTTTGCTCTCTGGATTCTCCTCAATGATGCTGATGATACAGTCTACTATGGCCCGTTTGTATTCAAATCCACCCTGTCAATTGCAATGACGAGTTCTTAATACAATGAATATACCTTTACAAGATTAAAGGGCATTCCTTTATAGGTGACAAAACTATTGTTAATATCTGACCCCTTATTTCTAGAGCGGTCCCTTATTTCTAGAGTGGTCAGTAGGACAGAAAACAAATAGAAATCCACCTATTAGGGATACATATAGCAATAAAAATCTCAACCCCTTAAAAAATTATGCAATAAAGTAATGCATAATAGGAGACGTGTAGTGGAAACAAACAATGGCAGAATCCAATAAATTTTTCAGATGCTGCAGCGATTGTCCATGAAAGGATCATATACTCCATTATCTTCGATCTCTATGTGTGGTTTAAAAATGCTTTTGAGTTCGTAACAAAATGGGGCATCCCCACAGTCTTTAATGTATTCCATGGTCACAAGTGTGTCAAATAGTTTCATCCTGCTGAGGGTCTAATCACAAAGGCCTCAACAATTAGACCCTCAACAGGATAAAATGCATTAGAGAGGGTGGAGACTGGGCTGAAACTATTTCACACACTTGTGACCATGGAGTAAATTAATAGAGTGCAAGGATATCGCTTCTCTGCCTTTTGGCTAAGATCAAGTGTAGTATCTGTTCTTATCAGTGTCCAGTGGGGGTGCTCCCGACCATTCTAGCTTTGCGGGGATGGTTGTTGTATAGTACCCTCACTGGTATGATGGGGGTCTGGAAGGCTAGTACCGGGGGGACAGAAACCGGGGAGCGCCACGAGTTAAGCTGGGGCCCTGGGAGTAATTCCCCCGAGAAAACTGGAAGGACCCAGTACCTCCTGATTTGGACGGATCTACCTTGTCTGGCCAGGGGCTGGGAAGGCAGAGAGTCCGCAAACACAGTGCCCCCTGAGTAGTCGCCACAGGGGTGCTCCGAGTAGCACTTGGGTGTGGGACCCCACGTTGCGAAAGAGCACATGGTCACTGCATTTAAACACTTTTTGCACTGCGCCTCTAGGACCGGGCCTTTTGGCCAAGTCCTGGGCAATTTTTTTGCTACAGGCCTCAGGGCCTGGTCAGTGCACAATTTGGCACGACACTTTTTTTTTTATTTTTTTTTATTTATTTAATTTATTTTTTCACTCCCACATTTGTCCCTTTTTACTTATGTGTGTGTTTTCTTCACATGATGGAGGGTGTGGGTCCTCGGGCCTGCCCTGAAGTCTAGGGGGGGGGATGTGTGGCCTTTTGGTTCCTTCCTCCCCTGTCCCTAGGGGGTTTTCTCTTCGGGAGAGCCCCCTGACCAAGTACTGGATGTCCGGCTTCGGCTGGACATAAGGAACGGTGGTCCACCAGGCCTTTTGGCCAGGAGGACCAAATGGGAACCTTGTCCCCGTCAGGAGCTTCGTGCCCCAGGGGATCAGGGTAGTGGTCCAACCCCTTCGGGGGTAGGACAAAGCACACCCCTAAGTGCACTTTTTGTGTGGTGTTTTTGCACTTGCACTTTTTTGTGAAACACTTACGGGTTTTTCATTGTAGTTTGCACGTTTGCGGACTAAAAAAAAAATAGAGTGCAAGGATGCGCCATTTTGCTCTGGAATGACTACCGAGCTTGAGGAGCCTTACAAAACTTAAAACCAGCACCTGGTAGCAGTTATGGAACTGGCCAGAGGAACATATTGGGGTATCCAAACAGTACTTTTCTTTTTTGAAAAAGTTTTGGTTGGATACATCACTGTTCATTATGGGGACACAATTGTGCAATTTATGACTTGCTGGTTATCAAGTTTCAATAAAACTTACCTCTTCACGAAGCATGGAGAACAAGAAGTTCATCATGACGGCATGCTTGCGAGGATACTTGTGACACAGAGCGCTGATCGCCTGTACAACAACCACCTGGAGGAAAGAAGCATCCACAAATGAAAACCCAGCCTTAGATTGAATATCTGAGACAGATTCATGAAAGTACTTTAAAGAGATCCCATCACCAGACCACTAATTTCAGCAAAAAACATGCTATAAAATTACTTGTGCATTTAAACATATTTTATGTATGTTACATACAGGGGTTAGACAAAAACGAGGAAACCCTACATGATTTGCAGGTGTGAAAGTGAAGACATGTTTCGTGTTGAAAGCGGAAGTGATGTAACATTCTTTTGCTTCCGCTGTGTGATGAGACACCTAGCTAACAGCTGGGAAGCCTCGCTTTTGTCATTTACTGCATGCGCTGCTAGTAATACGGAGTCATGTCAGAGCTTACTGAGCTTCAAAGAGGGCAAATAGTTGGTGCTGCTTAGGTACCGCTGTGACTGAAGTTGGCAATTTGCTACACCAAGACCATCTTTAATCAACTGCAATTGTGGTAATTACGGAAATTAACGTCTTACAGGAAAAGTTCACCTTTAAAAAAAAAAAAAAACTGATAATGTGCATCCTGCTGAATCTCTTTTTTCCATTGTAGCAGTATGGGCGATATTACCCTTGAGCGCTCTTTTTTGTTAATTTCCAGCTTCTGTGCGGTCATGTGATATAAAAAAAATAATAACAAATGCACATTTTTTGCAGATTAAAAAAAAAAAAAAAAAAAAAATTTTTTTTTTTTTCTTGAGAGCCTGTAAAAGCATTGCACCTGAATCAGGAGATCGCTGGTGCAATGTTAGGCTCTTGCAGACTGGCAGCACACTGTCTGCCCATATGGACAGGCAGTTGCTGAACTCCAGGAAGCGCAATGATCTACCTAGAGCCTCACCAGTCCCCCATAGTTTATTGAGAACTAAAAGCCATCAGCTGCAATGGCTGACAGTACTTGTAGGCATTCATTCACAGAATTCTGGGCAGCACAGTGGCTAAATGGATAGCACTTCCGCCTGGCAGTACTAGGGTCGTTGGTTCAAATCCCAGCCAGGGCACCACCTGCCTGGAGTTTGCATGTTCTCCCTGTGCCTGCGTGGGTTTTCTCCGGGTACTCCGGTTTCCTCCCACACTCCAAAGACATGCTGGTAGGTTAATTGGCTCCTGACTAAAAAATTGTGTATGTATGAATTGTAGGGATAGATTGTAACCCCTTGAGGGTTATGGACCTTAGATTGTACGCCCCTTGAGGGTTAGGGACTAGATGTGAACGCCCCTTGAGGGTTAGGGACTATGAATGTATAAGTGCTGTGTAAATTGACGGCGCTATATAAGTACCTGAAAGAAATAAATAAATAAAAAAGCATGGGCAGAGCCCATACTGTGTTGTCAAATTGTGACAGCAAATGCAGGGGGGGAAGGTCCCCTGCCTGCTGTCACAAGGAGGGGGCAAGTCGGGGGGTGCAGTAGTAGATGCTCAACATGTTACACTCTAAATACGGGTGTAACATATTAAAAAAGATGAATTTATCCTTTAAACAGTACTGATTACAAACCTTAAATTCGTCTGAGATTTCTGACATGAAGGATGAGATTTGTTTCATGAGCCGGTCAATACTGCTCTCGCTTCCAGTCTTCAGCAGTGTGGTAATGGCCAAGGTGGCGATACTGCGGTTGGAGTCTGTTACCAGATTTTCCAGGTCCAGGTTACAGGCAGTTACAGCTGATGGGTGTTTCATGGCCACCTAGCACATTTGACAGAACAGAGATATTAGGACACAATGAATTGACTGTCTTTATCCTTCTCCAGCCTCTCATATTTTCCTAAAAATAATATATATTTCAACAAATCTGGTCTTTGGAAGCATTATCCAACACGCAGCAGCTAAATAGCTGAAATCTGATTGGTTGTTATGCACTAGACCAGGGTTTCTCAACCAGGGTTCCTCCAGACTAAGTCGGAAGTAACGAAACGCGTCAGGGCGTGGCTGTGCGGTGACCGGAAGTGACTGAGCATCAGATATCGAAGGCCGGCGGTGGTGAGAGCACTGATTCGGCTTTTCTTGCACTAAGAGCTTACTAAAGCTAACATCTTTGGGCTATTCACTTATTTTCATCTTGTAAGTAGCACTCTATTGTGGCAATAAAAGAATCGTTTAGTTGGTACCGCACCATTTGGGGTTTTCTTGTTTTTTTTCTCCTACATGGAGATTTGAGTGTGGAGCATTGGGAGGTGGAGTGTGTGTGCTGGAGTTTGGGAGCGCTTGTCCTGGGATTCCAATGTTTCAAGATTAACAACTTCCAGACCGGACACTTTCACCCCCTTCCTGTCCAGGGCAATTTTCAGCTTTCAGCACTATCACACTTTGAATGACAATTGCGCGGTCATGCAACACTGTACCCAAATGAATTTTTTACCATTTTTTTGAGACAGATAAAGCTTTATTTTGGTGGTATTTATTTACCGCTGGGAATTTTATTTTTTTTGCTAGGTAAATGAAAAAGTCCAAAAATTTTGAAAAAAGTGTTTTTTTTTTTTATAACATTTTGCAAATAAATAATATTTCATCACAAATCTTGGCCAAAATTTATTCCGTTATCTTTTTAGTAAAAAAAAAAAAAATCCAAGTTAGTTTATAACCAAAAATGATAATTTTTTAACTTTTTTTTTACATTTTTATTTTTTTATATTATTATTATTTATTTTATTTTTTTAACATAGTGTCAAAATGGTGACACTGTACTACTTGTGGGGGGTGATGAAGATTTTTTTTTTTTTTTTTTACACTGATTGCTTTTACACCCATATAGGATGTAAAAGCAATCATTTCTCTTTCTGTCTGCATTCTTGCAGTCATTGAGAAGTACTGAGGGAGCTGTGATTGGTCACAGCTTGTCACATGGTACAAGGCTGTTGTGAATGGCCCTGTACCATGTGACCTCTGTGATCATTCACAGATTTCACATGTAGTAAGCAGTGATGTGAGAAGTGACATCTTGCTTACTACTCTGCATGTGATCACTGATTGGATCACTGATAAATAATAAAAAATAAAATTCAAATGTAAAAAAAGGGTAGAAAAATTATAATTTTTGGTTATAAACTAATTTGGGTTTTTTTTTTTTTTACTAAAAAGATAACTGAATAAAGTTTGGCCAAGATTTATGAAGAAAGATTTATTTGCAAAATTTTATAAGAAAAACTTTTTTTCAAAATGTTTGGACTTTTTCATTTAAAATAGCAAAAAAAATAATAATCCCAGTGGTGAATAAAATACCACCAAAATAAAGTTTTGTCTCAAAATATGCTAAAAACTTCATATGGGTACAGTGTTGCATGACCGTGCAATTGTCATTCAAAGTGTGATAGCCTAGACAGGTGCTTAAAGCCTAGTGTACCAACCACAAGTGTGTGGGAGGCAACACTTTTTGATGATTGCACACCTGAGAGGGCAGCATTTCACATATATTTATGCATTTATTTTTGCACAAGTTTTCCCTCACAGGGTGATCATTTTGTGGACTGATTTATTTGGACTTTCCTTTTGGAACATCAGTAATTATTAATTATTGTTATTCCATTAATATTTTTAAGTGGAAAATATCATATTTTATAAGAGTTCTCTGCACTGACAATTGATTTATGCGGCACCTACACCATTGATCTTTTTAGCGATCTGTAAGGGGGCAATTTTTCCCAATGACCACAATGGTAAGGAGGATTCTTCCCACTGACCATCACACGAATGTATCATTAGTTGTAGATATAATCATTTTTAGCAGCGGTTCCCTGAGACCAGAAAGCTATTTTAAGGGTTCTTCTGTGTTGCAAAAGTTGAGAAAGGCTGCACTAGGCAGACAGACATTTTATGAATTAGCCCATACATCCTCTCCATTGACCAAAAGTTTCCATACTAGAGCACTTTACCTTGTTAAGGGTCCTGACAGCCGCATAGCGAAGGGCAGCTTTGGGAGAACTGCAGAAGAGCTGTAATACTAACAAAGGAAACAATAAGCTAAATAAGCAGAAAAAAAAAACATGATTATACAACCAGAGACATACATACATATAGTGTGTGTGTGTGTGTGTGTGTGTAAAGCGCTGCACAAATTGACAGCGCCATATAAATACCTGAAATATATATATACACACACACACACTATAATATATATATATATACAGTTGCAAGAAAAAGTATGTGAACCCCTTGGGATTATGTGGAGTTTTGCATGAATTGGGCATAAAATGTGCTCTGACCGTCATCTAAGTCACAACAATAGAAGAACACAGTCTGCTGAACATAATACTACACAAACATGAGATGTTGCCATGGTTTAATTGCACATAACATGTAAACATTCACAGTGCAGGGAGGAAAAAAGTATGTGAACCTTTGGACTTGATAACTGGTTGACCCTCCTTTGGCAGCAATAACCTCAACCAAAAAACGTTTCCTGTAGTTGCAGATCAGACCTGCACAACGATCTGGAGTAATTTTGGACCACTCCTCTTCACAAAACTGTTTCAGTGTAGCAATATTCTTAGGATGTCTGGTGTGAATCGCTCTCTTAAGGTCAAGCCACAGCATTTCAATCGGGTTGGGGTCAGGACTCTGACTGGGCCACTCCAGAAGGCATATTCTGTGCTGTTGCAGCCATTGTTTTGTTGAATTACTTGTATGCTTTGGGTCATTGTCCTGTTGCATCACCCATCCTCTGCGGAGCTTCAGTTGGAGGACAGATGGTCGTACGTTTTCCTGCAAAATGTCTTGATAAACTCTGGAATTCATGTTCCCATCAATGACAACAATCCGTCCAGGCCCTAAGGCAGCAAAGCAGCCCCAAACCATGATGCTCCCTCCGCCATGTTTTACAGTGGGGATGAGGTTTTGATGTTGGTGTGCTGTGCCTTTTTTCTCCACACATAGTGTTGTGTGTTCTTCCCAAACAACTCAATCTTGGTTTCATCTGTCCACAGTAGATTTTGCCAGTAGTGCTGTGGAACATCCAGGTGCTCTTTTGCAAACTTCAAACGTGCTGCAATATTTTTTTGGACAGCAATGGCTTCCTCCGTGGTGTCCTCCCATGTACTCCATTCTTGTTTAATGTTTCCTTATTGTAGATGTGTCAACAAAAATGTTAGCATGTGCCAGAGATTTCTGTAGGTCTTTAGCTGACACTCTGGGATTCTTCTTTACCTCATGCAGCATTCTGCACTGTGCTCTTGCAGTCATTTTTACAGGACGACCACGCCTAGGGAGAGTAGCAACAGTGCTAAACGTTTCTCCATTGTAGACAGTCTGTCTTGCCGTGGACACATGAACATCAAGGCTTTTGGAGAGACTTTTTGTAGCCCTTTCCAGCTTCATGCATGTCAACAATTCTTGATCGTAGGTCTTCTGAGAGCTCTTTTCTGCGAGGCATGGTTCACATCAGACAGTGCTTCTTGAAACCAGTAAACCCAAAACAGGTGTGTGTTTTTTAAGGGCAGGACAGCTGTCAGCAACACATCCAATATCATCACACTGATTGGATACATAAATATACACACACATACATACATATATACACATAATATATATATATATATAAATAAATATACACACACATATACATACAAAAATATATATATATATATATATAAAAATAAAACAAAAACAAATAACACACACACATAAAAAAAAAATTATTAAAATATATATATATATATATATATAAAAAATTGGCCCTAGTATTTATATGTATGAACGTGAGTTGGGGACCTTGGATTGTACACCCCTTGAGGGTCAGGGACTGATGTGAATGTACAATATATATGTAAAGCAATGCGGAAATTGACAGCGCTATATAAATACCTGAAATAAGTGTGTGTGTGTGTGTGTAACACACACATATATATATTTATTTCAGGTATTTATATAGCGCTGTCAATTTCCGCATTGCTTTACATATATATTGTACATTCACATCAGTCCCTGACCCTCAAGGGGTGTACAATCCAAGGTCCCCAACTCACGTTCATACATATAAATACTAGGGCCAATTTATATATATATATATATATATATATATATATATATAATATATATATATATATTACACACACACACACACACACACACACACACACAACACACACACATACATACATACATATACAGAGAGAGAGATGCATAATTTTGATGGCACTATAAAAGTACCTGTAATAATATAAAGTGTCACAGGGATGCCACAGAGACACAAAGAGGAGAATCTCACCAGCTGAGTCACAGACAGCGATAAAGACCTGGAAGAGGTTTTAAACCTTCCAAATGCTATTCAAAAGTTAAAAAAAAAAAAAAATGACCCGTCTGTCGAGTTTTATACCTTAAAAGTGAACCTACCCACCACTCTAACTACAATTCCCAAGCAGGTCAAGAATTTGTAAACTCCATTCAGGTGGTAACACTGGGGGAAACTAAACCTGGGTCTCAAGTCTTTGTTGTAAACACTATCCCAACATGCTATCCATATTTAGGTTTGTTATTTTGATTAAAAAAAAAAAAAAAAGTAAAACCTGCCAACAGATGTTTACTAACCAGACACGGCGGGTGCCAGCTCCTTAGCAGTGCAGGAGGGAAGGTTCACAATGGCGGAGGCAGCTTCATAAACGACCATTTCATGTTTGTTTCTCAGGCAGCTCTCGATGAAATCAAACAGTGGACTGTCCCGGCTGAAAGAGACGATACCAACTCACTCACAAATCCTTCCCGAATAAAATCTAAACAATACATGGCCAAGTGTCTTACTTTCCATCCTCCTCTTCTAACAGCTTGCTGGCCACCCGGATCATCATGCAGTAAGCGAAAGGAGACTTCAGCCCGTGACGCATGAATTTACTCAGCATCTTGTTGACGGACAGGCGGTCATTTTTACGCACGTGGTAAAGCAATCCAAGGGCGTGATACTGAAGGAAGAGAAGGAGCAAACGCCATCATTGTGCACAAGAAGCAAGCCAGAAAGGAAAGCTAAAAAGGTCACTCAGGTATTGCTCACCTGCACCATGATGTTATCACTGGATGCAGCTTCTTGGGCCTCATTAACCCAGCGTTTCACAACATCAAAACTGGTCTTCAACAAGTGCTGCAGGGCAGAGGACAATGAGAATTGTACCGTGCAATAGATTTTACCGTGTAATAATTGCCCCACATTTGTGCCTAAGGGCTCATGTACACTGCAGCTGATAAACTCACGTTTAAGAGCTGTTCAGCGGTTTTTTTCAGCAGCCCCTGAACTCTCCCTAATGCCTTCCTATGTGTCCGTGTACACATCGTCGTTTACAGGCAGTTGAGTATACAGTCGTTTTTTTGAACGCAGAAAACTTGCGTTCAGTAGTCGATTTTATCAGCGTTTCAAATGCAAAACACTTGTAAATGCGGCTAATCGCGTTTATAAGCATTTGAAATTTTTTTTTAACTTTTCCAGCTCCCGATGCTGTCCAGAGCCTTTTTTCATCATGAAAAATTCATGAAAAGCATTTTCAAGGTACTCGGACGGACAAAACACTGAACACAGGATGTTCCTACCAAGCTTGTCACACATTGTAATGACCAATTCACACCTCAGACCTCCCCCACCCTTGGAAACGAAAGATATGTTAATGACCATTCACACCTCAAATTCCTCATGAAGACCCCCTGCCAGGTGGCCTTAATGACTCCCTCCACCAGACACCTTTCCCACCCTTGGAAACAAAAGAAATGTTAATGAGCAACTCACACCTAAGCTAATCTCAACACATACTGCTGTCTCTGCTGCTTCTACTCTGTATATTTCTCTGAAACAGTCTGAAATATTTAATAATTTACCACTTTTCAGTGCATTCTGGGCATTTGGGAGGTTCTCCTGTGCTTATCTTTAAAAAAACGCTTCTAAATGCAAAACGCACATAAACGCGTGATGCAAACGCGGCTAAACAGACCTTTTTTTAAATTACATTTTCCAGCAGCCAGTTTCCATTGTTTAGAAGTGTCCCGTGTACATGGGGCCTTACATGTGTGAGGTGAGACTAGAGGACCATTCACAGTAATAAGCGTGCAGAAGTCTGTTACCTGCCAACAATTACATCTTTTCTCCAGTGCAAAGACAAAAAAATGACAGCCAACAACCGATCGGCCGCTTTGCATAGCACGCTTTTTCCTGAATTCTTTAAAGTGAACCTTGCAGTGACATGTAAGGTTCACTTATACTGTCTAGGCGCTTTCCCACTAGAAAAAAAGTCACCAACTACTTAATTACCTGATAAGTTATTAGTGCAAAGTTTAATACAGGCCATACACGGGCCGAATTCCAAACAAATGTTCTTTAGAAAATCTGAAATTCTGTGCGTTTTGTAATGCGATGGCGCCACCATTAATTTCGAAATTCAACCAATCAAGCCTTCAATTTCTCTTCATGTTGCTACAGAAAAGAATTTTTGTGGCCAAGAATTTTCTTTTCTTTCCAGGTCACAGCTTTAGATTTCTTGCATGATTCTCCCATCATTGATTCGAAATTCATTCCTTTTTTGAAAAAAATTGCCAACATGCCCAATCACTCAAATTCGATGGTCACACGAAAATATACCGTTTCTGTGACCCACTAATGGTGAGATATAGATTTTTGAAAGAAAATTACTTCATAATTTGACCCGTGTATGGCCGGCTTAGGCTGGCCATACATTATACAAATTTTCTTGAGAATTTTTTCTTTAGACTCAGGCTGGCCATACATTATACATTTTTCTTTAGATTTTTGGTTTAGATTTACCAAAAACCATATAATGAGGTCAAACCTAACAACACTTTCAATTGTATCCAATTAGGCGGGCCCTTGCACTACATAGTTGAAGGTAAAGCTAAAGGAAGAAAATTGGACAGAAAACTGTAAGAAAATTGTAAAGTGTATGGCCAGCCCCATGCAGGCCATAGATGAGTCAAAAACCGTCCGTTTTAAATAAAAAAAAAAAAAAAAAAACAAAAACGGAAAAATCGGTCGTTCAATAGGCCAACGTTATCACCAACGGTAAAACAAAAACAAAACAAAAGCAAAAAAAAATCACCCAATTTTCGTCCTGTCTACGGCTGGCATTTAATTACTTCTGTCCCTGCAAGGAGCTCCACTATTATATCTGACATGAAAAAGCATTGCTGTTGCAACAATGTATCCATTTCGGATACAGATGTTTTTATTCGGATACAAATAGATACATTATTGCAACCACAATACTTTTTCATGTCAAATATAATAGCGGACTGGAATTCTTCTTCTTTTTCTTCTTCTTGCAGGCCACGGCTCATGCGCAGATTTTTTAAATCAGTAAAAAGATCGGCCGATTTGCCCATCATTGCTGGGAAAATCGGCCAATCGTTAAAATCGGCTGATTTTTTTCCAACTTCACCGATAAAAAAAAAATGTGCCAAAACCCCAAAAAACGGCAGACCATTTAACCCATTAACGGTGCGAAAATCGGCCGATTTTGTTTTTTTTGGCCAAAAAAAATCAGTCGATTTTCCACCCGTCTATGGCCTGTATTAAGGTTCCATGCACACAACTTATTTTTAAGCCCCTTACAGCTAGTTATGAGCGTTTTTTTTTTTCTTCCCCTACCACCGAAGTAAATTGTGTTATCCTATGTGTCCATACACACTATTGTAAGCTAGAAGCGTTTTTTTCAAACTTCAGCTTCTAGGAGCAGAAAAAATAGAAACAAAAAAACAAACAACCCTTTTTTTTTTTGTGTTTTTGGGAGCGATTTGCCAGCAGGCAAACAAGGCTGAAAACTTCTAAACCTTACTATAATGCTCCTAACAGCTTTTTTCTATCTCCCCCCCACTACATGTACTGTAGAACCGCTATTAAAATGCTAATGCTCCTAAACACTACTAAAATGCTACTAAAAAGTGCTATTACCAGCGGTTATTATCCAGTGTCTTTTTCCAGCATTTTTTGAGCTTAAACCCCCCCTCCAAAAAAAAACGCTAGATTTCATGGAGCCTAAAGCTGAAGTTTAATCTGCTTATATTTTGCTTTCCCTGGTCGCCCTTTTCTTGCCTCATCAATATACCAATTACATTTTTATCAACAAAATGTTTTCGATTTCATTACGCTCCTTAGGTTAGATCAGCGTTTTTCAACCACTGTGCCGCGGCACACTAGTGTGCCGTGAGATATTGTCTGGTGTGCCGTGGGAAAAATTGCAATTTCATCCGTAACGTGGCCTCGGCTCACAAATAGACCAATCATTAGAACAGCAATGGGCAAACTACGGCCCACGGGCCGTATACGGCCCGGCGGACCTTTTAATCCGGCCCGCGGAGCGTGATACTGTCAGGATGATCTGTCCCCCTCGATGTATCTGCGCATGTGCCAGAGATCGCCGATCGGCTGCTAATGCCTGAAACTGGCACATGCGCAGATACGTCGAGGGGGGACAGATCCTCATAGGAGACAGATTTTCATGATACACCGGAACGGCGAGAGGAACGCGCGGAGCAAAGGTAAGTGAATTGACACAGGGGGGGCTTGGGGATGAATTACTATGGGGGATGAATTACTATGGGGGGATGAATTACTATGGGGGGATGAATTACTATGGGGGGGATGAATTGCTATGCTTACTATGGGGGAATATTACTATACTTACTATGGATGACACATACACATCATTCATCTACTCTTGGTCCGGCCCCCGGGTCCAATTATAAAATACTTTATTATTTCATAATAAAGTAATTATAAAATAATTTCTTTGTTTGATTCCTATTCAAGAGAATTACTTTTATATATAGTCAATATAGGCACAGAGGTAAATTTTTTTAACATTTTCTAATGGTGGTGTGCCTCGTGATTTTTTTCATGAAAAAAGTGTGCCTTTGCACAAAAAAGGTTGAAAAACACTGGGTTAGATCATGTGATATCACTAGGTGTCTGTGCTTCTCTGTGAAATGCAGGCGGATCGTGGAGGGTCCGGCGGGGTGCATTTTTACAACACCACAGTGCCTTGCTCCAGTAGGTCTCTCAAGAGCCCTCAGCCCTGATGCAAGCAGTGGACTGGCTCTTGGGAGGACTTATGCATAAATGCATGGATCGGTGGATGTCAATCGGGGGGAGTGGGCGTTCTTAGGCAAGCTGCATTGACATGCAGACCACCCTACGTAACACCCACAACGTGATGCTGAGCCTCCATGATTGAAAGAACTGCAATCCAATGAATGGAATGGGAGGGCCAGAGACAGTCAGGCTGGGGAGGTAAGGGCTAGATGATACTGTATTTCTTCCAACCAGGAGATGGGGTGAGTCCTGTCTGACTAGCTGCAGCTTCTATGCAAATAGTGAAAAGCTCAAAAGTGTGTACTAAAATCATCTGGCCTCCATTCATATGCAGGCATCAAATTCATAACTGAAATAGAAATATTGCATTTCCACCATAACTTAGAAAATGAAGAGTACAGACACATTTACCAGAGAGGAGACCAGTGCAGAGCTGGATACACTAGGCACCTTGTCCACGATAGCCTGTTTCATGTAGCGTTCGATGGCCTGCAGCATGGTGCTCTATACAAATACAGACATTACATTAGAACACATCAATAACTCCCATTGTTCATCTGAAAAGGACAATAAGCTGGATGGCTAACAACGTACATCTGTGATTTTACACAGCGCTCTTACGGCTGGACCTCTGTAACTGTCCTCCTTCCCGGTCATGTCTTTGGTTAAACTGTGAAGAAAGAAGAAAAAAAAAAAAAATTCACCAGTTGCCAAAGTAACGGTTTTAAAAGTCACTTATTTTTTCAGATATATCTATATCTACTGAACACTCCATTCTGGAATCGCCCGGGCGATCGGAAGCGGAAGTTGTCCTCCCCATAGTCTACTGGGACACATGATAGATCCCAGAAGACAACGGGGCCATTCAAAAAGCGCAGCACTTCTTGCACATGCGCAATGGGCACCCGGCTGTGAAGCCGCAAGATGTTACAGCCGGATGCCCAAGCTAAAGATGCCGGTGCCAGGGAGAGAAGACGGCCGGTGAAACCAGCCGTGGTGAGGACACCGCTGGACCGGGGGACAGGTAAGTGGCTGTATTTTAAGTCAGCAGCTACAGCGTTTGTAGCTGCTGACATTTATTTTTTTAATTTTTTTTAGGTGGAACTCCGCTTTAAACCCAGCAGTTTAACAGTTTCAAGAAACAGCTACATTCCCGGCATACCAAGAATGTGAACTGTCACATTTACTTGTGCTGTCGACCAAACTATCAAACCATCAAATGGTTGGTGTCATAACTGATCACATGTGCGGCATCATAGCAGCTGTAGATCAAACAGAGGCTAAGGTGGCAGCATCCTTGGCTGAAAAGGATAGAAGGGTTTAGTTCCACTTTAAAGCGAACTAAGCCCATCGATTTAGAAGTTTCCCTAAACAACTACATTCAAAGCATGCTATAAATGATAACTGTCACAGCTGCTTGTGCTCTCAACTGAACTGTCAAATAGTCCAATGGCTGGTTTCATAACCGATATGTTCAGGGCATGGCACCTGCAGATCAAACAGAGACTAAGATGGCAACTTCCATGGCTGTAAAGAATAGGGGGGCTTAGTTCGGCTTTAAAAGGGAAATCTGGATTTAGAATTCAGGCTGGAGTTGTGTCAGGGGTCCGAATCCACAGGACTGAAAACACTCAATAGATGACCCACCTACTGGTGACAATGATAACGTCCTCGGAAATGCTGGCCATCTCCTTTATGGTGAGGTAGCACATCCTCCGCAGCGTGGGCTGAATGAAAACACAAGACATGAAGAATGTTTACCAAATCATAAAAGCAACTGTCATTTTTCCTAAAGTATAACCTCATCCCAATTTTCTTCAGTTTTGGGCATAGTGGGGGGGGGGGGGGGGCTGGGGCGGAATAGAACCCGTTATGCATTCATTGCCTTCTGTGTCCCATTTGGAGGGATCTGAACTCACCATTCGTCTTGGTGTCCATTGTCACTGGGAAAGAAAGTACCAGGAAATCTTACATTTTAGGGAGCAGGACTTTGCGAATAGCTAGAAGGTCAGTTTTAGTAAATCAACCCCAATGACTGCTAGGGAGCGGGACTTTGGGAATAGCTAGAAGGTCAGTTTTGGTGAATCAACTCCAATGGCTTCTAGGGAGCGGGACTTTGGGAATAGCTAGAAGGTCAGTTTTGGTAAATCAACTCCAATGGCTTCTAGGGAGCGGGACTTTGGGAATAGCTAGAAGGTCAGTTTTGGTAAATCAACCCCGATGGCTTCTAGGGAGCGGGACTTTGGGAATAGCTATAAAAATATAACAGTAAAGACTTTGAAGTAGAAGTCCGGTTAATATCTAAATGTAGACTTGCTGCAACCCCCATTCTAAATGCTATACTAACTAGCCTGTAGAGCAAAGATGCTTGCCCATTAAGAGGATATCCATAACCACGCCGGTCACATGATCTCCACAGCGGCCGACTTCAGTGAAGAAATCGCAGACAATGGCTGCAATGCCCTATGCAGTGACATCACCCATAGGCTTACTAAGGGGTATCTGTTGTTGGATGTCCCTCCTGTACTAGGCAGCTGGAAGCCGATTATGTGACCTGACTGGAGTGCTCCCAGAATAGGTAAGTGTAGACATCTCCCTTTCAGAGGGTAGTTAGTATGGGGCTTAGAATGGAGGTGGGGGCAGGTGTAAGTTTAGAGAACGAAAGCAATACCTGATTGGTCAGTGCAGGCGAACATTTAAAAAAAGAAAAAAAAATTGCCAAGATACACATTTACAAAAATTCATTTTGAAGCACATGAAAAGGTGTCTGGTGTAGCCAGGGGCGGACTGACAACTCATGGGGCCCCCGGGCAATAGGGGATCATGGGGCCCCTGTGTCCTTGCCCAAACTCAAAAAAGCCTATGAAAAAGGTACCAGGGGCATCTCATGGGGCCCCCTACTGACCCGGGCCCCTCGGGCAGTGCCCGAGTTTCTAAATGGTCAGTCCACCCCTGGGTGTAGCTGATGACACTTACATCATTTGACTGGAACAGCTTGGTCATAGCAAAGAAGGCTTCTGTTGCTTCTGTAGCTCCCATGTGCTCACCCTACAAAGGAATGAAAAAAGGTAAAATGTGGATCCACAATCCAACAATTCAAGTGTTCTCCAAACTAAGAGAAAAATAAATATTGGGATCTGTAGCTGCACAGAAATAGAAATGGCAAAGTATAGAAATGTGCCATAAAAAAAAAAAAAAAAAGTAAAAACCCCAAAAAACAAAACAAAATAAAAAAAAAAACAAAAACACATTTTATTCTGTGGATTGAAAAATGATTACTTTTGTCTTACCTGGTTTATCAGGTACAATATCTTGGTCAGAATATGAGCACATTTTCGGGGGTTGATTGGAGTCTCGTTAAACAGACGAGCCTAACAAAAAAACAGCAACAGGCATGAGAAGAAGACTACAAATCCACGGTACTGTGCATTAGTGGTCTACAAACTGCATCCGGGGGCCAGATGTGACCCTTTGCCTGCCTTTATCCGGCCCTTGGGGCATTATTCCTCCCACTGACACAAATGATGTTGCACCATTTCTTCCACTGACACCCATGGTGGGGCGCTATTCCCCCCACTGATACCAACAATCAGGCACTAGTCTTCCCACTAAAACCAATGATGGGGCCTAGTTTGCTCTCACTGATATTGAAGTATTTTCTACTGTCCAAAGTCCAGCCCCCTCTAAAGCCTGAAAGACAGTAAACTGGCCCTTTGTTTGGAAAGTTAGGAGACCCCTAGTCTACACAAACAGAACACAGATAATAAATCTTAACCACTCCGGAAGGTTTGACCCCCTTCATGACCAGGCCATTTTTTGCTATTAAGGACTGCGCTACTTTAAATGGCAATTGTGTGGTCATGCAACTCTGTACCCAAATGAAATTTATATCATATTTTTTCAATAGAACTTTCTTTTGGTGGTATGGGATCACTTCTATTTTTTTTACTTTTTATTATATAAAAGAAAAAAAAGACTGAAAATTTAGGAAAAAAGTTTTTTAATTTTTGCTATAAAACATATCCAATTAAAAAAAAAAATTTCTTCATAAATTTAGGCCAAAATGTATTCTGCTACAAGTCTTTGGTAAAAAAAACCCCCAAATATCTCAATAAGTGTATATTAACCTCTTCATGCTGTGTGCGGCCTCCCGGCGTTTGGGCCTAGACACCGAGCGGCCGCATATTTCGTTTTAATAAAAAAAAAACATATGTGCTGACAGGTCCTCTTGGAAAGGTCCCGGTCTCCTCTTTTGATTGGGACCTTTGCAGATCATGTGACCGCTGTGACGATGCGTCACGGTGGTCACATGATCCCTAAACCCCGCCCTGCCTCCCGGCTTCTGAAACTCTTAAAGGGCCGGGAGGCGACGGCGAAGGGGTTAATTGGTTTGCATGAAAGTTATAGCGTCTACAAATGATGGTATATATACTGGAAATTTTATTTATTTATACTAGTAATGGCGGTGATTAATGACTTATAGTGGGATTGTGATAGTGCGGTGGGCAATCTGACACTGACATTGGGTGGGATCTAACGGTTACTGACATCACCAGTGTGACGCTAATACAGTGATCAGTGAAAACAATATACACTGTCACTATACTATGACACTATCTGGGAAGGGGGTTGACATCTGGGTAATCAAGGGGTTAAAATGTGTGCCTAACAAGTGCTAATTTGTGTAATGTGTGCTGCTATTTACTAACTAATGCTCCATACACATAAGAAAATCGTATTAAATTTGCAGAACCACTGATCGAACGATTTTCTCTTCGTTGATGAGCAGGATGTTATAACCGATAACGATATTGTGAATGAAAAAAATCCGGTTGAACGACAGTGAAAAATTTTGTCGTTCCGCACACAAACGACCGATTTTCCATGTGGTGGTATGACAGTCGTACGAAAAAAAATCTATCACGCATGAGCGGAAACAGAAGATGACCCGGATGTTGATGTCCGAGGAATCTTCGTAAACACGAACGAAAAATCCAAATGTTGAAAGTAGATTGTCCTAATGAGATGATGACACCAGAATTCTGCAGATTATATTTTATGTCTCACTATTTATGTATATAGGTCATGTAATAAACGATATTATCCTCATTGCTGGTAATCGTTGTGTATATCGATCGTTCTGGCCGGAAGGGCGTGACTACAAGGTCACACGCAGACCGCGTCACTTCCACTTGTACGGAAGACGTCAACACTACGTATTGCCCGACGAACAATTTTTTTAGATTGGTTAATGTGGGTCGATTTCGACCAACGAACGAACGCCTCTCGGATGACCGGTTGGTCGATTTTCTAAGCGTGTATTCCCACCTTAACTCTCTGTTTCTTCTCCCTGCGTTGCAGGTAAGTATAACATGTTTGTTCTATTAAAAACAAATTAAAGTTTTAGAATGAAATCTGCAATCACTCGGATCTCATTTACGATAAAGAAAAAAAAAATTGTCCTGTCTATAACGAAGTTCCCTGCGTACGAACTTACCTCCTGGAGAACCGCGCTCTTTTCAAGGTGCTGGAAGGGATTGGAGCCACCACCTGAAATCACAAGGGAAGTCAATTTAAAGTGGGCAAATCAACAAGGAAACACATTTGAACCATCCCTCCAATACATGCACATTTCCTCATATTTTGTACCTTTGACCCCTTCACGCCAGCGCCTCCCGGCCCTTTAAGAGTTTCAGAAGCCGGGAGGCAGGGCGGAGTTTAGGGACCATGTGACCGCCGTAATGCGTCGGCAGGGCGGTCACACATGATCTGGAAAGGTCCCGATCGAAAGAGAGTCTCCTTATGTTTTGAATAGCGCAGAGACGGGTTATAACTGACGGGTTCGGATGGTATCCAGGTACCCAGAGAGATTTTTTCCTCACTTCCTGTCAAATATGACAACTGTCACATAGACAGGAAGTGGGGAGAATAAAAAGGTGATAATAGGTTTTAATCCAAATGACCCCCCTCCCCCGCCCGTCTCCTACCTCAGTGGCTGAATTTGGTGACGTGATTTCTATTGACAGTTATTGGGGGAAGATAAGAATAGGGTGGTTGTGTGATCTTTGGCCAATGATTGGCAGAAGGTTTCAGCCCCCTCTTGCTGAGATCATGTGACCAGTCACCAGCACAGCACCATCATACCACTGGTGTGGCGGTCATCGGGGACACTGACTCCTGACATTATGTTAAAAAAAATGTAAATAATTTCTTATTAACTTTTTTTACTATTTTTTTTTCTTTACATAATTTCAACAGCATAGTTCAGTGTCACCATAGTAACACCGTAATACGTTGGGGGGGGGGGGGGGGTGATGAGTGATTTTTGGATGAGATTTTTTTTTTTTTTTTGTTAACACTTTGATTGCTGATACAGTAAAAATCATTGTACCAGCAATGCTTTGATCTGTCATGGATGAGTTTCATTCATAAAAGTAGTGATTGGCTACAGCTAATCACATGGTACAGGGTACTGTGACTGGCCCGGGTATCATGTGATAGCTGTGGACCAATCACAGCTCCCTAGTACAAGAAGCAGATCTGTTATGATTGATATTCATTCATAACAGCTTTGTTGACATCACATAGCGATCATATGATCCCCGGGCCACTCAAAGCATCAGCCGCAATCCACTGTGTCTGGGCGGTTTGGGGGGGGGGGGGAGTAATGCACCTCCCTTAGCCCATGCAGCCTCAATGATGTTCATGACTGAGCCTGCATGTGCAACCCCACCTACAGTGTATTTACTGGGGCCAAACGGCAAGTGGTTAAAAGCAGCAGCTACAGACTGAGTAAAAAAAAAAAAGCCTGTCCCCTGCCAGCATGCTTTACAGAAGGGCCCTTGCTCTCTGTGTGTACGCAGCGGTCACTCTGCCGAGAGCCGGCATGCCCCCTGCCGAGCTCTCAGACGGTCAGGAAGTGTGAGATTTGCTGATTTCATAGAAGCAGTGGTCTCTCTGCCGCGGTCCAACAAGCTCTTTAAGCGGCAGTGAGCTCTGCTGACTGTGTGGAAGGAGTAGTCTCTCTGCTGAGGTCCAACACACTATAGTTATAGGTCTCCAGTCAGTAACTCTCCTTCTCCCTTTTGATTGGAGAGCTCTTGGTTTGACTGAGTAATGCAGGCCATAGACGGGTCGAAAACCATCCGTTTTTTTTAAAAAAAAAGAAAAATCGGGCGTCCGATCGGCCGACGTTACCACCAACGGTAAAAAAAAAAAAAAAAAAAAAAAAAAAAAAAAAGATCGGCCGTTTTTCGTCCCGGCATTTATTTAACCCCAATAATTACTTCTGTCCCTACAGAGAGCTCCGCTATTATATTTTGTATGAAAAGTCTTGCGGTTGCAACAATGTATCCATTTGTATCCATTTCGGATACAGATGTTTTTATTCGGATACAAATGGATACATTGTTGCAACTGCAAGACTTTTCATACAAAATATAATAGCGGTCTGGAATTCTTCTTCTTCTTCTTGCAGGTCACGGCTCATGCGCAGATTTTTTTATCGGTAAAACGTTCGGCCGATTTGCCCGATCGGCTGATCGTCAAAATCGGCCACGAATTTTCCAACTTTACCGATAAAAAAAAAAGTGCCAAAACACCGAAAAACATCCGACCAATTAACCCATTAACGGTACGAAAATCGGCCGAAAAATTGGACGATTTTTGACCTATGGCCTGCGTAAGGGAGGGCTTGTTCATATGGGGGGGGGGGGGGGGGGGGGGGTAAAAGGAAAAAGCAGTTTACTGCCCCTAATCAGACATGCAGCTGCTCAGGGCTGTACACAGAACATAAATTAAAGTGGAGCTCCACCCAAAAGGGGAAGTTCCGCTTTAAAGAGTGGTTCCCCGCTCCCTATCAAAGAAAAGTGGAAGTTGTCCTCCCCCCTCCCTCCCCGTAGTCTTTTGGGACACGTGACAGGTCCCAGAAGACTACGGGCCCATTCATGAAGTGCAGCACTTCTCGCACATGTGCAGTGGGTACCCGGCTACGAAGCCGCAAGCTGTCACAGCCGGGTGCCCACACTGAAGATGCCGGCCTCCTGGAATACAGGACGGCCGGTGAAATGAGCTGCGGGGGGACACACCGCGGGACCGGGGACAGGTAAGTGGCTGTTTTTTAAAAGTCAGCAGCTACAGTTTTTGTAGCTGCTGACTTTTTTTTTTTTTTTTTTACAGAGTGAGTGGAACTTCGCTTTAAATGGCACATCACCTTCAGCAGGCGGTGCCGCCGCTAAACGCGGGACTCAAGTAACTGGGGCTGCGATGAAACTACCCTGATACTGGGTGCAATGCACATGATTACAGAGCACTGGGTCAGCATTTTCGTGGGTTAAAACGGGTGGTGAGGAGAAGACATATCCGCCTCCTCAACGGCTGCCACATGCCATCTGAAAGAGCGATCTAACACCGATTGCTTTTCAGAGGAGCAGCAGCGTAGCCAGACATGTGAACAAGCCCTTAGGGTCACGGCGGACTTCTGCAGAGAGACCACTGCTTCTCCCCACCCAAAGTAAAGGCCCTTGCCTGCGGAGTGCTGGCAGAGGACAGGCTTCTCTTTTCTGTGGCTGTTTTAAAAAGAAAACAAAGACACTGAACACCTGTTGTGTTGATGCAGCTGGAGTGCCATACATAACATACCACGATCAGTATATATATCCAGCGCCATCACCCAAGGCATGCT